CTGTGAGAGACAGTTGTATAGAGACGTGCGAGACGAATGATCTGCGTTTTTATAAAAATTTCATGCTCGCACAGTCCTGCGGGACGGATTCTGGTTGAAGGAACTTAGCGCACAAAGACAAAGGGTTCATTAAAATTCAGTGCGCATCTCCGAACGGCGCCAATGTTGGCCTTTCGAGCGCTCGCTTCTCATCCTCTCATCCTCTTCCACTTGCGATTGCACGTTGCGATTAAATCATGCACTGCACTCATGATAACACGCAAGCACATTGTCCGCGCGGAAAGACGTCTTCAGATATGCTTAGTGAAACGCTGAGTATCTTGAAAATTGCAAATGTATTTTTCAGACAAGCTGGGATCGACGTTTCCTTTACACAAACGATATTATTGAAGAGTTTGCCGCAACAGTAGTTTAACCCACTAAGAACTTGAGAAAATTAATATTAGACCTGTAAAAATTAAGTTTTGTTTAATTTTCCCGAGTTCTAGAAAAAAATTGATTTAATTACTACTGCGCTAGACCTATCAATTTTATACTAGCACTGAAACTTTTCATACTGTTAAACACTCTTTTACTGATCACAAAAGTATTTCATGCATATATCAAAGATGGTTTGTTCCACTTTATTGTCCCGCATTACACTGGAAAGCAAATGGTAATTTTCTCCGTTAAACGTTTTATTCGAGAAACTGTTTTCTTCCTCGAGAAGTGTCAATATTATTTTATGATGTCCCACAGTGAATATATTTTCCCTTTTGTTACGACTTTTCTCGTTGGGGAAGAAAAGAATGCGAAATGATACGATACGATGGCACAATACTTTTCAAGATGATATCGGTGGAGGAGGGATGAGATTGAAGACAACCGAGGATTCGGGAATAAAGAGACGATTTGTAAAGCTGTCATGAATAAAAATATTATGCACATCCATCTAGAATGTGACAATAAATTTGGGAAAGAGACCAACTTATTTGGGTAATAGAAAAATATGGAATGTTAGGAAAAAAATAAAAAGCAATGAAAAATTATGACATATGACAAAGTACAAACGCGCTATTTACATACAAGATACTTTTACACGTTGTCTTTATGCTAGAATTACCATAACACCCTTCTATTCTTTATGTAATTTCATATGAAATTTAGCGATGTAAAAGATACAAAATGTATAATAATACATAATGAAAATTTTTTTGTTAAGTTATATCAATATTAAAACCTTTACATTTTTTACAAAAGAATAACGTAACTTCTTAACTTGATGAATATTCAAATACAATCAGATAAAGTTCAAGATACATCCTCTCGATGGTTGGAGATTCTGCGCAGTTTGAGAGTTAATTTAAAAAATTTTTAATATTCTCTTCAATATACTTTCTTACGTTTTCTTACTTCTTTAACTTAATCTCCTTATCCTTTCTCTCTCTTTTATTTTAGCAAATTTTTCGCCAGTACAATATAAATGCGGAAAGTGCATTTGCACTTATTGTTAGTCATATGTGGCATAATTTTTCATTGCTTTTTATTTTTTCCCAGCATTCCGTGCGTTTGGCATATCCGAATAAGTTGGTCTCATGCAACTTGATGTATCGAAACTTTATTGCATAGATATTCTTATGTTCAGTTCGGCAGATGTGATATTGGTTTCACTCTAATTTAAAAATATCGATTTAATATCGAAAATTGAAGCACGCACATCTCGCTTTTATATTGCTCAATTTTACTTTAGTCCGCTGCAACAGGCTGCGCGGTACGAAATCGATAGACATTGCGTGCCATCCGATAGAGTTTGAACCTCACAAGCCCATCTGCGAGAGCGCGCTATATCGCAGCTTTGCCGATACATCGAAAATTTGCGGATGCAGGTCGAACGTGAAGCCCCGCGTCGGTCACATCAGGCTCGAAGGAAGTCACCGACTAATAAGTTATGCTGAAAGAGAATTGGCTATCGATGCATGTATAAGCTGTCGTTCTGTGCGTTACGCGCGTGCAACATCCTGCCGATAGAAAGGTCTCACGGGTGCAAACCCGAAGCGACGAGGCGTTTTGCAAAGTGGCGTGCCCTGGTTAACTGCCACGAGTTGGTAGTTCCGGGAACAGTTCATAGTGGGTAAATAGGTAAATGGTGCGCTGTGAGCATGTATTACGCAAGAGTTCATACACTGTAATACCTTCCTTTGCCGTCCTATTAAATTAATTCGTGAACTACCGGAAATGAAAACCAGAGCGATTTTAAATAATACACCGAGAATAATAACGGTAAAATGTGAATTTCTTTAGAGAAGACAAGTAAAAATGATTTAAAACATTTGAATAAAAATAAAAATCTGTAATGCAAACAAGTAATTAGTACTAACTTCAGTGGCTTTGCATATATTACGTAGACGCTGAGTCGCTCCAACAATATACTAAGCCCTATTCTTACATTGTATGTTATTTTTATCATTTTACACTTAATTAGTCTGTTATGTAACTTTAATTGTTGCTATTACACTAGATTAATTTTTGAGTCAACGAATAAAATTACTATTCTATTTTGCACCTATTCTATTAATGTTTGCGAATAATTTTCAATGGTTTTTCTGATAACTACTTGTTCGGAGCGACATATGTTTAGCGATTGCTATTAATTTACACATCGAAATTGAAATGTAAATTATGTTTACCAACCTTATGGTGGTTTAAGCTCACCGCATGTCATAGATTACTATATTATATTCCTACACGACGTACACATATTATAATATAATTTGAGATAGTTGTAACTGATTGCATGTGCGCTATCACACCAAGCTTGATAATAACAGGAGTGCGCAATTATGAATGTAATCGAAATTATGTGTAGCACTAGCAAATATTATATGTTTATGAAATGGGGATATAATAATCATACAGCTGCATATGTGTAATATTGAATTTTTAATATTCGATACGTGCTACTTTTGATAATCAGAGTATATTGCTAAAGGATTTAGAATAAAATGCCCAATAAATTTAGTTGTTCGATTTCATGCACTTTGGAATATCCGACTGACTGCGAATATTAAGCGATGGCAAAAAAAGCAAAAGTATTTCACCGCGTCCGCATACTTTGCTTAATCACACATTCTCGATTGACAATCTCTAATGTTTGTAAACACGCAGTGAATAACACACGCGCCGAACACAAAGCTGTGGGAAAACAAACGGAAAAATAAACACAATCCATCTCGACGTGCGACAATTTCCATAATGAAAGGGAGGATTTCCCAAAGGCGAATAAGGGATTTGCGTCGCTTACGAAATCTGCATCGCGGGATTAACAAATATTTTTCTAGGGCGCGTACATAGTAGTTCGGCGCGGCGCGGCGCAACACTATGTATCTCCACTATATTCCCGGCTACATTTACGAACCTTGCGCAATCCAACTCGGTCCCACCTTTCGCGGAGCTCGTATATTGTACACGCACAGCCATTGTAGCTACATATTCACCGCTCGCAACGCGAAAAAAAGCCCTCCAGCTGCAGTTTAAAAACGCGCGCGACCCCATTTTTTCCCTCGCTCGACTTCCTCATTCCCAACAGCGCCTTCGCTTGGTCGACCATCCGTTAGAAATGTATTTGTTGCTTTCATTTCTGACCGCAAGGTTATTTTACGAAGATGGATAAGTACGCAAAGCAGAGAAAAATCATACGTTTTGTAATGTGTAAATAGTTCGCTGAAGAATCCATCTATATGTACATGAAGCGATCAAATTTCAATAAAAAAATTCATGAGAATCTAACTTCTAATCTAAATATATTAATTTTTTTTACATTGTAATCATCAGTGCGATAGAAAAATTTTGTATTTAAAAAACTAAATAAGACGCGTGGAAAAAAAGCACTTCATATACATTTAAAATAAAAATGTACGACCATCATTCATAATAAAATTTAGACAAGATGTCAGATTTACATCCCGAGGGATGTTGTAATTTAAAATCACTGAGGCTGTTCACCCACATTTCTTGTATGATATCTGACCGCGACATTGTATAGCATTTACTTTCATGGGGTATCACGGGGCAGCTGCAACAAAAGGAAGAAGCTGCGCGCAGCAAGGAGCGCGCCTTGGTATTTCACAGAATATATTTCAGCGTGTAATATATTTTGGAATTATATTCAACGTGGCGCTTACGTAATACCACCACAAACTGCCGGAATATACGGCCGTTGTATAACATTTCGCAAAACTTGTATTTAGAAAGAGATGAATAACAGACATTTATGTCTATTATAGTCGTTTTACTATGCATGCGTCCGGCCGTAGCCATTCGTGCCGACTCCGTTTACTATTTAATTTACTTTACTTGCTCTGAACTACACAACAGCTGCAATGAAAAAGAGCAATCACCGGTATGCAAAATTTTCGCCTTTCCACGTTTTCATAACACATCTTTTGTTACGGACGAAATCATTTTCTCCATAGAAATAGTTGGTTGATTTAAAGATTCAATTTTCTGGAAGTGGATCTGATGTAAGATGTGTAAACAAAATCACATCTTCTTCTGACTACAGATTTTTCGACAAATTGTTTTCTTGCAAAATTTTATCGAAGACCATTGCAGTTTCTTAGTATATTTTTTTATATTCTACTAAAGCGCGAATTTTCAAATTCTATAAAAATTTATAAACTCCTCGAAGTGAAATCAATTTCAAATTATTCAAAAAGCGTAAAAGTTAATGTATCCACATATTATTCAATTTCTGCTCTAATCTCGTCTCTCTTTCTAATAATTTCACATCAAATCTCGATTTCGATGATTTAAAAGGCCGATTCTATTGGCCTTCTCATTACTTTTCCATCCTCGCAGAACATCGGTATTTCTCGATCATCGCCGATTCTGCGTCGGCAGTCGGCGACGCAGTGGTACTTCCGAAATACAATTCTCTCGTAAACGAGGGCAGATATTCAGGCCGGATACGAAGGCTTGCAGCGTGCATTTTAATGAACTCGCTGTCCAATCTTGTTTTCCAGTGGCGTAAGTTTCTTTGGGAGGACGAAGAGAGAGAGAGAGAGAGGAAGAGTCCGGAGAGAGCAAGGGAGAGAAAGAAAGGAGCTACAGACGGCGGCGGCGGCGGTGGTGGCGGCGACGGTGGGCGGGGGAGGCGGCGGGGTGAACCCGGAACCGGAAATGGCTGCGAGGTGGCTGCTGCTGCTGGCGCTCCTCGCCGCCCACGTCGCGGCTCTTCCTGATTTCATTAGGATAGGTGAGTATCTTTCCCAGTTTCTACTAGCATGAAAGCCGCGACTCTTTCGACCACGTTGAATAGCGTCAGTAAAATTATTATCAATGTCCCAGTCGATAATACTCACGAGTAAAGAGACGGTGGTACGACTTGACTCTTCGAAATGATGTTGAGGATGGAGCTTCACAGATATTATAAGCAGGTAAGATCTTATTCCCTTTCGTTACTTTCGAGAGAACTCGGAAAAGAGAAAAAGAGGAATTTCAGATTCAGTTACAGAGATAATTAACGCAGAAGAACACGCCCACATTTTTCAACAGGAATATGCGCGTGTAATTAATTTACTTGATTTTGTTTTATCTGTAAGAGCTGCAATAATTGAAGCATACCTTCAAGCAATCATAATATGCAATCTAATTTTATCGTACTTCTTATATTATACGTTCCTTTTTCATTTCTACTTTACGTAAACAGTTAGTTTAATTTTACTCTTTTGACTCTGTTTAAAATTATCTACTCACTGATTACGCTGTCTTGTAGTTTTAATCCATAATTATTTTTAGTTTACATGCTATTACATGGACGCATAAGTAATTACGAAATACCATTATGTCGTACGTAGTAACTTCATGAAAATGTTTCGCCACTGAGGCAAATAATTGAAATTAATGACAGCAATAAAAGTCTGCACTACTAACAGCGCCCTATTTAATTGGCACTGATAACGACGTAAACAGAACATGCAAGTAAATAACATGCATTTTATCGATGTGCGACGACAATTACCGAAATTCTAACTGGTGCGCGTCAGAGAGAAAATCAGTTCGATGTCAACCATGTGCTACTACGTATGTAGCCACTATATAATACGAGGTATTTCACAATCAAATGTCATTCATCATATTTGCTTGAGTATATTAAAGTAGTAACAGTTGATTATAAACGTATAATCTTTTAAGCACTTTTCACGCATAAAAGCAGTCATCTAATAATATATATATATATAATTTTACACATTTTTGACAAAAAAAATTTATAATTTTATAACTTTATAAATATTTGTGTGAAAAAAATGTGCTATATTTTAAAAAATTTTGCTGTCTTTTATGAATATAAATATATATCCAAAAATAAATTTATAAAGAAAGAAGAAAATAATATTAATTTACTGATAATTAATTTTTAAGTCAAATTGCTGCTTTGTTACACAAATTAACATCACATTAGTATACAATTCGCTCTGCTATAATTTTCTTTTCACGATGCAAAATATTATCACGTTCTATTTTTTAGAAGAAACTTTAAAAGTATAATACGTTTCTTGCTTTATTGTAAAAGCGCTCGGTCGCTTTTATACAAAACATGTATATTTAAATTTTCATTACGCGTAAAGAAAATTACGAGATCGTAAAGTGCAGTGATTTTTGTCGATGGTTTTTCCAATAGAAAATAAAATCTCATTTATTTAACAGGGAGTTTTCGAGATTTACATCGCTCGACGCACATGTCATTATTCGAAAACGAAACATATGTTGTTACTGTTACCAGCATTTAATAACAATGTAATATTATGTCGGCTGCGATAACTTTGTATTGCAAAATTATTAATTTATACATATTTCTTCCAAAATAAATATGAAAAAACAAAAGCACTGCACTTGTACATTACTTTTGTATATTTCATTCCTATTTTTCGCAAATATAATAAAACAAAACGGTGATTCAGCTGTTTTATCTCTGTTTTACACAAATATACGCGTGAAACACCGTCACTGGCACTGTTTAACATCATGATTACCGTTTTTACATAATACGAATAGCATGATGCGCCGAAGCTTTTATCGAAACGTAAATTCACGTTGCACACGATTTCCGAGTGTTTTCTTTTTTGAGAGAGAAGCAGAAGCGGATCGATATATACGTCCGAGCTCAGGGGAGATACTTGCCGTTCTTGCTGCGAATTTTGATACATTCGTCCGTGCTACGTTTGTGCTACGGCGTATCACCGATGGCGTTGTATGGCTAATACCTCTCTGTATTGGAGAGGATAGAGCTGGAAAGCAAAGGAATTTACCGAAACAAGAGAGAGATCGAGGCGAGAGAGAAAGAGAGAGAGAGAAAGAGACAAAGAGACATCGTCAGAAATTCTTTTAGCTTGCATTACGTCGATTGAATTTTAAGCGTTTCACATTTCTCAGCTTTCTAATTTTTACAGTATTTTCCTCAGCGTTCGTTCAATATCCATTGTAACTTTCTCGTCGCTTCTGCAATACCTATTTCCATCTGCGTTTTCCGTCGTTATTGCTAGTCGAACAATAATATAGTTTCTCTTGTTAAGAAAATTGCGCTTGTAAATTAAATACTGATATGAAGAAGAGCACGAATCTCTTCATTTTTGGTTTAAATTATCACGTTTGTATGTGGTTTACAATCATTGTGAGAAATGCAAGCAGTAATTTATTCGCTTTTTTAAAAAAACTGTCTCTTGCGTCGTTCATAATTAGAGCGACGAGCAATTTTCTGTTTTAGAATGGCAACTCATCACTCGCCCGTTTTGAATTCAACGTTATCACAAATGTTATTTCACAGGCCATCAGACTGAGGTCAAAATTAAAAACGCCGCCGCGCGCGCACACCGTGGTTGTATACTATTTTCGCGATTTATTTGCATAAGCCGGCAGCGGCAGACTTGCTTTTTCGCCCGCGTAATTAAATCGAGGTTTGATATACGAAATGCTAGGAATGAGCTCGGACGCCGATGTAATCGAGTGGGATCAATTTACCGTTTTTATTGCGTCGTAATGGGTGCAACGAAAGCAATCACGGGGTCGAGCGTCGCCGATCAGCCCCGCACGAAATAATTCATCAACGATTAATGAATGTTCGAAATTAATTAATTCGACACGGCTCGCCCGGACAAGAAAAGACAATGTTTAACTTGCGTAGGCGTACATGTTTGCAGCAGTAGATTTGCAACTTTATAAACTTTCGTAACTGGCTTGATATGTTGTTTGTCACTACGCATTCGTGCGGAGTTTAGTGATATTCGCAGTACAAAGGTTGATTGCTCGGTAAGCCGTTACACGCATCAAAATGTTATTTTGCGCTTTTAGCCACATATCCCAGTTTCCATTTTTCCTTTGTCCTTTGCCAGGACCTTTATACACCAATTTCATTTCTGTTTATGAGTCTGACAAAAAGTCACGTGAGATTTATTCTTCAGAAATGATGTTTTGCCATTTCACATTAAGATATTCACTTTCCCGTTCGCGTTATTACGCTCATTATTGGCCGCAACGACCACAACGAATCGCGTAACCTTCCGAAATGCGCCGAAGTAAATCGATAACGGGTCGCTAACGAGAGACGTAAATCTATCCCGCAAATTCTATAAATCGTAGAGTCAAGCCGGCGCAGCTGCTCGTACAGTTACTTTATGACGTACACGAGATTAAAATCAATTTATGGCGCCAATTTCTCTCGACCGAATGAATTGGAAGGCGCGGAATTTCAGCGGTCCGCCCCGAAGAAAACTGTCGAGAGTACTTATGTGACGCGAGATGATGGAAATGACAGAAGATGGAATGTATGGTGCAATTTTTTCAGCGGAATACAAATAAATTTGTACTCATACGGAAGCATTCCAACTAGAATGTCATGATTTTGAGAGAAATATTTCATGAGTTTTAATCCAATTTCGTTGTATAGCTGCTGAATCGTGACTTACGCGTATTTGTTATTTCTAATCGCTTTTTTTATAAATCCCTCGCTTGTATATTATTTGATGTCATCGATATCAAAGAAATTTTCGATTGGTAGAGTTTCATATAACAAATTAATATATTTCTAGGATTTGTTGCGACCAGAGAGAATGTTGTCAAAAGTGTGTTCGTATTTAAAAACTACACTAATCAAAATATCGTACATTATAGTTTCTAAAGCACACAATTTTCAAGCTTATGCCGATACATTTTTACTATCGGAATCATTCGAAAAATATTGCTTACGACATGTATATACATCCGCATAAAATGCATTAACAATAGAGTTCTGCAAAACGCAATTCTAGCTGGGATCATTCTACAAAATAGAAAAAAATACATATAAATAGATGATAAATCTCTATCATTTTCCAATACTAGCGGAAAGAGAATTAAATAGACGATTGAATAAAGAGAACATCTTGGTGATTGTAGACGGAAAATAAAGAGAAGTGCACGCGTGCATCTTGTCAAGTAGCACCTTTTAATATGGATGCGTGATTTCCCAGGCGGGCTGTTTCATCCGTCGGACGACAAGCAGGAAGTGGCCTTTCGCTACGCTGTAGAGAAGATCAACGCCAACCGGGACATCCTGCCCAAGTCTCGACTCAGCGCCCAAGTCGAGATGATACAGCCGCAAGATAGCTTCCACGCTTCCAAACGAGGTGAGTTTCATAATTGAATCGGAAATATGCGGGTGATACGAGACTCATCCCTTCCTCCTATCAAATTTCTCGCAAAAATCAATTATCTTCCCTATCGTGCGATACGCTCTCTATTTCCTTTCTCTAATGTTCTACCTAATATTTATTAAATATTACAAAATTAAAGAACCTAAAGTAATCAAAAGTTTTATAATTAAAATACTTTCATTACGAGAAAATTCCAGTTTGTATAAAGACGTGTAAAAAATTACTTGAAGATTTTCTTCTTATTAGCAACGTGTATTTCAGAGCATTGAAACTAAGAAATTAGAAAAAGAGCAGGACAAAATAACTCAAGTTGACGATATCGACAGAAGTCTAATAGCAGCTTATGGAGTAGCACGTATTGCAAGCAAAAGGCTACTGTCGTTGGAAATCGCTTCGCGTTAACATATGCGCGGCACGCCGCAAACTGCCTCGAAAGTTCGCATGACTTGCTTGATGCGCGAAATAAACTCCATTTACACGATTAAGGATTCGAGACGTCGTTGCTCGCGTGAAGCTTCACTCTCGTCTCAGTAGTGAAACGGGGTACTGCCAGCTGATGCCCGTGACGATCTTGGTCTTCAGTTATATCAGTAGAAGCGCCTAACATCCTTATCTCAGGAGAAGTAAAGCTCGTGTTTAACGTTGAATCCTGTTACTTGCAATTTTGGCATGTCTAGTACGTCGCGCTAGTACATTTTGCAATGTAATAGTCATCTCACACGATAACCTGTTTTTTACTTTATACATATTAATAATAAATTGCATTTAGAAATTGTGTTTCGTCAAAGTGCTATAAGCTTTTTACAAAATAATTTTTAAGGTAAACATTTCTACATTTTATGTTTTATTATCGATACGTTGTATATTATTATATTTTATATTATATCATATATTGTTAATTAAAAACTTGATATATTATTTTCCAATAAATAGAAATTATTTTTATTGAAAATTTATATTAATTTTTATTATTGATATTAACTTTGTAAGTAGTTAATAAAATGCATATATTATATGAAAATAGTTTTTTTCTTTTAATTTCTTTTTTCTTTTAACTAGTAACTGATTTTGTGTAAATGTTGTACTATTTTTTAAATATTTGTTGCGTTCAATCTTAATAATTTTTGTTTTACTGTTTCTCTTTTCTATTTTATTAGAAAAGGCTGGTGGTGTGAAATTGTTTCTCAATCCAACAAGTGAACCATGAACATTCTGGCAATCGTGAGATTCAATATGAAAATAATTCTGAGCAATATATTATATATGTATATTCACTAGTAACTTATGTTATATATATATATGTATATATATATAAAATGTAAGCCTGCGGTTACTCGCTTAACTATGTATACAACCGGAAATTAATAACGTCCAGCACAAAATAATAACTCGGCGGATATTTGCGCGTAGAATTAACCAGAGCCAACGTAATTACCATGTCGAGTTACTAAATGATTAAAGCGAACGGTGCATTCTAAATATGCACACTGGAGTCGCATACAGGCGCATCGGTCATGCCGCGAATGTACGAGCATATGAGTCGCTGCAAAGCACGAACAGGAGTTGGATGACCGAATTTGGCGGCGCTCCAGGACGGTATTGCACCATGAAAGCAATTTTATTGATAAACTTCTGTTTGCCAGAAGTTAACAAATCTCCTTGGGACACGGCGATCGCTAAGGCCGAAGCTGGCCGGGCGCAATCGTATCGCACATTCGGCGACGCTCGAATTCGCCGCCGAGGGCGATTCGAAAAATTTATCTCCCCCTGTAATTCAACGTCGAAACGACACAGCGCAGAGTAACGAGTGTTCTGTCGGATACTAGAAACTGGAACTTTGTTAACAATGGTGGTACAGTCATGATTGCGAATTACACGAGATTTGAGATTTATTAACAATGGTGTACAAGTAAGATAATGCGAATTATATATGGTTATTTTATGAATAACAATGCATGTTGGAATTGCAGCATGACACAGAATGTAAGATGTATTCAATATCTGAATATTCAAATGTTATTTCCAGTCGAATTTTGAAATTATATATTCTGAAGAATATGAAACACAATTAAGAAAATTTATTAGAAGTGGATAATCTCGTCAAATCTCTAATCATCTTAATTGAAACAGATATACGAAATTATATTAGAAATTAAAGTTGTAATATTTAAATAAAGCAAATAAACAATTTACAATATTAAATTGTATCGTAGATATCATTGTCACATCTCTTTTTGCAGTGAGCCACCCTAACCATATATTTGATTAGCGAGAAAATTGCTTCACAGTCGCCAGAGGGAAAGAAAAAGAGAGAGAGAAGAAATTGATAAACGATTGTCTGTAAAGTCGGATGCAATAGTGGGATAAATTAAATGCTGGAAATTCACGTCAGGTTTCGTGTTCTTCTCGTCGTCTAGGTTTCGTTTGTCCTCAGAGCGAAGGAACCTTTCCATTCGACAAACAGAAAGAGCGGATGGTCGTTTGGACGATCTCGCCTCGCCGTCTTTTTACGATGCGACGGAAAAACACCAGCGAATGCGGTGCCTTTGTTCGCTTCGTACCTTTACCATCGCGGCGGCACGATTGTTGGTAATACACTTTTACGATTCCGCTTGGCTGTCTCGGAATTTTCGGCAATGCAGCCCGTCGTTCCCCACCATGAAACGCGAGTTGGAACGAAAGTTAACGAGGACGCGCACATTCGATTATGCGCGTCGCCTCGTCCGGCATTGTTGAAAAAAAACCGCAAGGCGCGATAACGTCAAGCGATACCAATTCCATCAAGGACAATTGCTGATCTCACTTCGTATATATTACGTGAAGGATATTATTAAAAATACAGAGATACAGATACGCAAATATTATTGCACAATAATTTTTATGAAGCACCAAGAAGATCTGTTTGTTTTTAAAAACTTAATCTTCAAACAATTTTATTCATAATCAGAAAACAGCGATTACGTATTAATTCGTATTGTTAATCATTTTTTCAGGAATAGAAATACGATATTTTTATATATTAATTTGCTACGAGCATTATTTTTTTGCCAAATAATTTTCCACTGACCAAACATTTTTCTAAACTTTTCTTGTGTTAGATTACGTACTGTAATATATTTTATCGATTATCTTGTAACCCCCGCGAAAAGAATCTTGCAAAGTTGAACGTCCCACGGCGCCAGTGCGGAAATGAGAATATACCGAAATGCCCTTGCGAAAGTATAAGAGACGCCTCGTGATATTTTACGCTTACGGCGACGGCGCTTGGCGAGCATGTCCGAGGGAGGTTTCCGTAACTACCCACCCGAGGGTGAAGAAACTCAGTGCGCAAGCGGTGGCGTTGTCTCGCTCGTTTCACTTTCGCTAAGCCAATTTCCCAAAAACCACTGGAAGGAAACGAAAAGTTCCGGAGCCGTGGGAGCAGTCGCAAGCTGCACGACGACGACTCCAAATATGGAGCCGTCCGCTCTAATTTTGCTATAACTTTTTCGGAATTTCCTTTCACATTATTACGCAAACTTTCGAGATTGTATTGGCCTGTGGAAAGCTTCTCTGAAACTATTCTGAATGTCGTGGCACGTGATTTCAAGTTCGGAACGAGGAGAATCAAGAGATACATGAGCGTCATTAACCCTCCGCTATCTCACCACACTTTGAAACACGCTGATACACGCGTAATTTTATATTAAAAGTAAGGGAATTTTATAAACGAGTTGATATTTTTAAAAAAAAAATTCTGAGTATATGAGCGCAAGCTTGATTGGAAAAAATGTAATATAAGGATTGGATTCAGGATTGTCAAAATGGGATCAGGATTGGAAAAAATTACAATCATAAAAATAATAACTCTATCATCGAGAAAAAAAGAAAGCGTTTTATAACATCTAAGATAAAAAAAATTGTTGAATATAATTCGATAATTTAAATTAAACCTTTTAAAAAACTCTTCTTATCTTTTTATCAAGTTTTAATAAACTCCGAGCTTTCAGTGTGAAATAAAAATAGTGAAAAACAAAAGAACTATTTAAGAGAGAACTTAAGACGATGATTAAAATGCTAGATTGATTTAAAAAGATTTACTTATGGCATAAAAATTAAATTATTTCACTTCAAACTTCTGAAATTTTATTAAGCGATATTGTGCCTGCCATCGAAAATTACTTAACTACCGCTAATTTTCTAATAGTTTCGAATATCGATCGATAGATTATACTAACTTTCATAAATAGATCGATTTGGGGTGACGATTAAGCGCGACCAATCTTGTGAGTAATTATACACGATAGCCAAGTGGCACACGTCATGCGCTCATTAGAAACGCGCAAATAATACAACTGCAAGCCGCACTGCAGTTCTCAACGAAAATGCAAACGTCATATTATCTTCTTGCAGTGTGATTTCGATCACATTTTCGTGCGTCAGCAAACATTGGATATATGACAGTAAATGGTAGTGAGATTGTCAATCAACAATGGAATCGAAAAGGGTTGGAAACGATAAAAGCAAAGGCAAAGAGATAGAATCGCGAAATTACGTAGCAAATCATGAATGTAATCGTTTCTTGCTCTTGTCGGTGATAAAATGTTTTTTTATTCTTGTGTTTTTTAATTTGAGATAACCGTTTTCGCATGCATTCCATGAAAAGCAAGAAATAATACGAGCATAATAAAAGCGTACGATGACGATAGTGTCATTAGAATCGAAAGATTGTACTAAAACGAGCATTAAATATACATTTTCTAAAAATAGCATCTCATTCTTCGTACACTAAATATATTACGAGATATAAGGACTGCATTTTTACAAACTTTTATGAACTTTAAAGTTTTTTATTCTTATGATGTTTTTAAGTATAAAGAAAACTTTATAATGCTCCGTAATAGTTTAGATGTTTCATAGTTATACATAATTTAAATTAAATTACGTAAATTAAATAAAAAATACGACATTATTAAGTCTTTTATAATTGGTTTACCGCTCTGAATGTAAGATAAAAAATATTGATTTCTAATACTAGTGTTAAAACTTTGATCAATTGATCTTTCATATTAAACTATAAAACTTATTAAAAAAACGGAAAACATCTATTAATGTATATTGAATATTATTATTTTTATATCCTAAAAATATATATTTGTATTATTTTTGTTTCTAAATAAAAATTTTGATACGTATTTTCATAAAATTTCTTTTCTTACATATTGTAATTTTATCATTCAAAAGAATGATAAATTGCATACGATTTGTACAAAATTAGATATTTTTCACTGTTAAAGTAGAAAGACTGTAACTTTCTACTTTAGTAAAAACCCAAATCGCAGACGAAGATATGATTATCAAAAAACAATCGTTAATTATGTAGTACATATTACCGAATGGAAAGATAACGAACGATATCAGTATTTTGTGTAATCATGCATATGCAATAAATTAATTCACTCACCGGTCGTTGTACTAAGTTGTACTAAGTTGTATACGGCTAGTTGTACGACCTCAACTGCACCTAAAAAAATAAACATAAATTTTAATTGTAATGAATTATATCATATACTGATTAAAACATAACTATGTGTAATAAACTGTGTAAATGATTATTTCAAACTTTTTATGATTATTTAATAAATACATACTGTAATCATGCATGTGTGCGTTCACACAATTATCACAGAATTATGTATATATTTAAATAATAAAGTAATCGTTGTGTTTACCAGTTAAAATAATACAGTTTGCTCTAGCCGCCTTAGAATTTTCCTGTCAGCTTCATGAAAGGATGAATTTTGTCGATGAATAGGAGAAATCCGTGCTTCGTTATACGTATATCGGACGAAAATTAATTCGCGCATTTTATTTTCGAAAAAAACGCGAAGATATGAACGAAATCACTTCATGATAGCCACACCGTAATACACACGAAAGATAAACACGAAAAATGCGAAAAAACGTGAAATAAAACACACTTCATGCTGCACTTTGTACATTCGCACACATAATTGTAGCAGTTACTATAACCTTATACTTTTCGGAGATCAATTCGATAATGTACGCACTCCGAACAAGCGAGTTAATTTACCAGATTATCGCATATATCGTACACAAATAATAATTACCTTTTAAACAATATAATTTAAAATTAAATTTTTATATTATATTTAATGAAAATATATCATTTTCGCGCGTTATCAGCATTTGTACTTACTGACAAGTATAACCCCGATGTAGTTAACTATAATCGACAAAATGCCGTTAATCGCGAACACTTGCGCTAAAAATAATACGTTCTGGCGATCGCCCGTCACTGTAATCGACACTCCCGATAAAAATTTGCACTCATTATACACTTTTAAAGGGTATAAAATACGTAATTAATCGCGAAACGTTTAGATTCTGCTTTTCAAGCTAATCTAAAGAGAGACTGTTATGGCGGCTGGTAGGTGGCGCAGCATTGATATTGCTGATCGATATTGCAGTATGGGCTGGATCTCAACGCTATCTATGTGTTTTATTCTGAATAAAAAATAATTAATCGATCGATAATCGATATCGACGCTGCACATCACTTCCGACCGCTGCGACCATTTCTTTCGGCGCATAAAATCGGAATACAGAATATGAATACTGTGTGATTAAACGCGTATTGTATCGGTATTAAAAGTGCGTAACGAGTGCGAATTTATGTCGGGAGTGTCGATTACAATGACGGGCGATTACCGAAATGTATTATTTTTACCACGCTTGTCTGCGATTAACAGCGTTCCGCAGACAATAGTGATGCATGGCGTAGTATTCAAAGAGGTTATATTCAATGAATTTTGATGCTGTGAAAATACGCGAAAAAATCATTCCTACATTCAAAATAATTGAAGCACGATGTATTTCTTGTTAGATGTAGCATATTGAAAAAGCTTATTGCGAGTAAATCAGGTAAAAATCAGGCAATTACTCTGTGTACATCTGTACGACATCCGTGTAATCGCTAAAATAATCGTCGTTTATTTCGTTTGCACCAAGTCATGTATAAATGTCCCCGAATGTGCGAAGTGCTGCAATTATACGCGTGGGCGCGTTTCAACGCATACCGTTTTATCTCGCGTATTTCGCGATGTGGCAGATTTGCGACGTGACTCTGTGATTCTCACGTAAGTGAAATGCGAGTTAATTTTCATTTGATAGTGTGAGTGTTCATCGATTCTTTAGTGGAGCTGATACGAAGCAGTTTAAGATGGAATCTGCAACGAGTGCAGCAAACTGCAATATTCTAACTGGTGAATATAATTATTTGTTTATTTATATAATATGTGTGTAATCTAATATGCTAATATATACATATTATATTATTCGTATTTATTAAATATTTAATAAAATATTTATTAAGCATTTATTAAATTTTTAAAATAATTATTCGTACAATTTATCGCATACAATTAAATTTTAATTCAAACGGAAATAATTAAATAATACGGGTAATGGAAAAAATAATAATAATCAACATACATAAAATATGTATGATAATTCATAATAATTAAAATATATATTAATTTCTCCAGGTAAGGACGTATTTAGCTAGAGTACAACAATCAGTGAGTGAATTAATTCATTATACGTGCATAATTACAAAAAATATATACTTATATCATTCGTTATCTTCTCGCTCATTAATATTAATCAAAAAATTGCCTAAGGACCGTATTTTGATGACATCACATTCTCGTTTTGCGACTTGCAATTTTACAAATAACAAAATACAAAATTACTTTCTTTTTATTTCAACGATGAAAAATTTTCGATTTTAATTAATTGTTTAATTTATAAGAAATTTTCGTAAAAGTGGTATATAGAAGTTAAACCGATCCCCAGTAGTAAAAGATAACAATATTTCGAACTTTATAATTGAGATAATATCCATTACGCTACGGTTATAGTCCATAACTATTTACTCCATATTGCATAAGCTTGTGGCGATCTGCGCCAGATGTTAGGTTCGCGCGTTCCACGATGTACCTCGCAAGTATGCATTAAATGTCGTGCTGTGCAAACATCGCAGCCGATTTAATCAGGACACACGTAGCGCGTCTTGTTAGGACCGGGTCAGCTTAGAATGCTGACCGCCTCTCTCTCTTCCCCTCGGCGAGTTCGCGAAATGTTGGCGAGGGGCTGCTCCTCGCTCGGACCGCGGCGAGAGTGCATTAGCTTTTCATGCAATTACGGGACGCGCATAAGGGCGCTGCTTGCCTCGGAAGCGCACCGCCGTAATTATGGTTTTGAGCTTTTCAATTACAACAACGGTGCTGCTGCTGCTGCCACCGGGGCGGTAGTGCACTCACAAATGTTCCCTGTCGCCTGTGTAATTCGAAAAATAATTAGCTCTTTCGCTTGTTGAAAATCGCATTGTATCCCTCGTCTGACCCGGAGATTTTCATACCTTCTTCTGTTAATATTCCTCAAAATTAACGATAATTGCGATTTTTAGTGATATGGAACGTCAACTACTGGTGTGCCAGTGGTAATATATCATTTTTTCTCGCAAACAGTAAAAAAAAGCGATACGATAACACAGCGAGGCAAAAGTTTAATCTTGAGTTCGGAATTAATAAAGTTTTAATGTCTGATAGAGAAAAAAATCCCGATAAACATCTTTGATGAGAGTAATCTATGTATTATTGAGAATACATAGTCTACTCGTCATCCACCGTGTTAATCCCGTACGACGGGATTATTGCGAAATTTATCCACATTTAACTTCCTCCTCATACAATGCTCCACGACGGGAGAAAAACCTACATAATCGTCTCATAATATCTGAAATTTAAAACGGAGATAATACAAAGTCCAGTACGTAAATCACGATGCATCCAATAAGACGCGCGCATACTAGCATGCAGTTCGCGCGAAAAGCCAGGCGAACGTTATGAATACTTACGGGTCGCCGCAATTTCCGCTGTTTCTTTCAATGCCGGGGGTTTTTCTGTCCGTGGGACTCTCGCGACGGGATAAATCGGATTTTGTTTTGTGCGGACTCATAGGCATGCAATTAAATCTATATACTCCGCAAAAGAATATGAACGAAAACAATAGCGGAAATATTTTTTTAGAGACGATGACTTATGAAACGGGATTTGCAAAATACTATTAGTTATGAATAAGCTTGCAAAATCCATTCTTTATCCTTTCTTATTTATTTCTCTTTTCATTATATATAATTATTGGTCAATTAAAAAATGATGGTATTGTTAAGGATCGAAAGATTTTTATAAATTGAATCTTAAGAAAAGACTAAACACACATTTTATTTCTTTTCCTTTTTAAAAGGAAGTTTTATAGTTGAAATAATATTCGAAATTAAAAAACTGTAACAAATAATGGCTATAAGATTTTTCTTTTGTAACTTGTAATATGATTTGTAAACACATAAAGAATTCTTAAGACGTGCATTAAGATTGGATGTACGAATGTCGGGAACATAAGAGATCACGATCGTATTTCTGTGGTTGTTTGATCAACGGAAGTAACTCTCTATTCAGACAGGGTGATTTAATAAAGGAAACCACGATGACCCTTGTGACGTCGAGTGGTCTTTCTTTTATTCCGGCTAGTTACTTAATATAGTTTCCCCTTAGTCTCTTTTGTCTCTCACGTAAGTCACAGAATATCTGACTATTCTCTCGACAACTTCCGCTATTTTTCTCCCCTACAAAGTACACGCCTTTGCTACTCTTAAAATTAAAATAAATTTACGAGCTGACGAAGTTCGTTAAGAAGAAAATCCTCGTTATTTAGTAAATCTACTTGAAATTCTCAGATATGGCTCTCGCTGGTACTATAACTGGGAAAAAGTCGGAGATGTTTCTGCGATATAAAACGACTCGTTGAATCTTGCATTATAAATGTTCCATCACGAAATCAAACGTCACACGAGATGCCGATCAAAATTCTTCAACGACACATTACTTGTTCACATGTTACATAATGTTTGTTCTGACAGAAAAAAATTGAATTTGCAAAATACAAATTATTCTTCATATCTTGCAATTCTTAATTTTTCATGATAAGAAATATCAAGGTAGCAATAACTTTTGAATTATAACCAACTAAAAATCTAAAAACGCTCGCAAATTAGTATATCTTGTTTCGCAGATATAAATAAATAATGAATTTATGATAATAAATCAAAATAAATGACAAGAAATGAGATATCCTAATAAGAGATTAAAATTATGTAGTTCTTTTGTTTTATCTTCACAATTTGTGCATACATATAGCGCCATTAATTGTATAAAAAGCAATTTCAGAACAAAGGATTTATCTCTATAAAGAAAAAATTTAAAATTCTTTTTCAGAAAGAAAAAAGTAGCACAGAATATAATCTCTCATTTCCTGCATTTTCGTAAACACATTATAAGCGATGAAAAATTGAACGAAAGCTAAGTTAGTGATGTGACGGTGAGAGATTTCCTTACAAAGCTGCTTACGAGAATTCATCTGAGTCGAGACAACAAGCTATAG